TCTTGGGATTGTTTTCAATGAAATCCATGATATGTTTGACTGATTGCTGAGTTCGGCCGCAAATGTTGACAATTCTGGGTATAGTTTGTGCTATTCTTAAGCCATCACTGCTTAACAACTTATAGTTTGGCTCCAGTATTATGTGTGCGTTTGAACCGCCGATTCCCATGTTGTTGATCGCAGCCAGTCCTTTAAATATTACCCAAAAAATACTATTAAATATGCGCAATATAATTGATATTTTAAAACAGGTCAATAATTTTGTATTTTCTGTGAATAATATATTTTTATAAAAACATTTATATTTTACCTGGCTTGTAAGAATGTGATTCCATTACGGGTAGTATTGGCGGGCAATACACTTTAAATTGCTCGCTTAACTGTTTTAAGTTGATATTTTTGGGTATGCACTCGTTTTCGTATACGATTAACACTTTGATCATGCTCACTATTCCCGATGCACCCTCCGTGTGACCAAGGCTGTTTTTCAGTAAACCAATTGGCAAGGCTTGAGTGCGTCCCGTCGTATTACAATAAGCGTTATATATTGCCTTCATTTCAACAGGGTCGCCCACCTATGATTTATTTTAAAACAAATAATCTGCATAAACTTTATGGACTATGGGTTATATCAATAACATTATGGAGCTGGTTAATAAGTAGGGACATGTTTATCTCGAAATTTGAATCCCTCCACCCTATTTGGGTATTTATTTTGCAAGTTATACTGTATATCATTGAGTGTCTAAAGTGACAAATAGTGTCATATACTAATGTTAAAACATAGGCAAATGACACCCAGTGTTACACTATGACAATGAATGCTGTATATTATACAGTGTATAAGATTATTAAAATTATACCTGATCTAAAATCACTTGACCTGGTCTTACTTAACAAATAATCTAACAAAAACTAAATCAAAATACAAATTAATTAATAATTAACTTGTAAGTTTAACTATATTTAAATTGAGATAATGGATAGTAATTGGATTAGTAATTGTAAAATTTAAGTAATTGTAATTGTATTAAACCAGGTACATTTATTTTCGGATTAATTTCTGTAACAACCCTTATATCTAAGCAAACGTTTTTTATTAAAATTATTAAAGCATGATTAGATTTGAAGTTTGTTAAAAAAAATAAATCCGAAAATGAATGCAACTTTTTTTTGGTACATGCTACTTATATATTTTAAACGTCTATGGACAAATACCTTGGTGCCGGCGCCGTGCGTCTCGAAATAGGTGAGCGCCGCGGGATCGACGTTGGCCTCGGTGTACGTGTCGACCATTAGCCTCTCCTGGGCCTCGCTGGACGGATAGTACATACCCTCCCGCTTGTGGCCGTCGTTGCTCATGCGGGCGGTGATGAGGTGGGCGTATACGCGACGGGCGCGGTGTCGGCGCTGCATATACACCGCGCACACGGCCTCGCCCTTCACGTAGCCGTCGGCGTCCACGTCCAGGGCCGAGCACACGCCGCGCCGGGAGCACATACCCAGCTCCTGTTGCAGGTGCAGTACGTACGGCTCAAACACCATGTGCGAGCCGCATACTACGGCGCTGTCCACTTTGCCTACAGGGTGTCAAACAGATTTGTATTAATATTATTAACCTAATATTAAGAGTTGCTTTGTTAATAATTAAGTTGGTCATATTAAATTTTAACAAACTGGTAAGTTCCATTACAGTATATAAGAAATAAAATAATATAAATAAAACAATTGTAAAAATCTTGATCTCACGTATCGTAATAAAGATTTTTTCAAAGATTTTATCTATTTTATTTTGCTTCATATATTTAACAATATAAATTACCAAGTATCAAGTCGTTTAAGGCCATTATGATGGCACTGGAGGCTGACGAGCAGGCGGTGTCCACCGTCATGGACGGCCCGTGCAAGTCGAGCGCAAACGATATGCGGTTCGCTAGGAGGCACTTAACGTTGCCAAATGTTTTGTAACCGATCCGGGTCATTGAGGTGGCCGAGTCCGGTTGGACGGCATCCGGGTAGCCCTCGCTGCCGGGTATCGACACGTGACCCACGTAAACGCCAGTATTGCTGCCACGCAGGTCCTGCGGGTTTGTGCCTAGGTAATAATATATATGATAATTATTAATGTACAATACTTTAATATTTTATACGCTATTTAGTATAACGCGTTTAAAGCTAGTGCTAATAAATAATAATGTTGCACAGTCAATTGAATAGTTGTTTTTTATTTATGATTAATTTGTAGTTATTTACTATTTTAAAGTCTGTTTGTATGACCTAGTTAGACATTAAGAAATTTAAATAAAAATAAGTAATATACATTTATAAATTATTTAACGCTATTAATATAAATAATTTATTATGATTAATTTAATTCTAGGAATTTTCCCTAGTTTAATTATTCGTAGAATATTAACTTTATATAGAACATTTTTATTGAATATATTAGTGCTTAAAATATTATGAACTGTCAATTTGGTACTTTTCCGTATGATTTTAAATACACATTTGTTTACAAAAACGGGCTAAATTTACTGTTATAAATAATTCTGGGTTAATGTTACCCAAGCATGAAGTAAAAAAAGTATATACTTGATACATCTTAAAAATAAAATAATTTGCTCTAGATCACCTGAGTCAACAATGGCCTCGTAGGCTACTTCCAATACCATGCGCGCCTGTGGCTCCATCTCCATAACCATTTGATCGGGTAAACCAAAAAAGCTTGTATCAAACTTATTGAACTCCATGATCTTGCCAAAACGGGAATTCATGCCGTATAGCCCTGTAGATTGAAAGTTAATTTTTTAATAAATTTCAATTTTTAAAAATTCTTTTAATAAAATTCTCGGTTTTACATAATTCTATTTGGTCATGCTAATTGTATGACATATTATAAAAGGGGTTAAAACATAAAGATTAATAAAATAGTGTTAAAAAGTATACGGAGTAATCAATCGTACAGAAGCGACGTTGAAGTGAAGGGTTTGTATAAATACATCAAATATTTCTCATACCTGTCGGCCATCGGGTGTCGTCTTCGGTAACCATATCGACGCCGTCATACAGATTGCGGGCCAACTGGTCGGTGGTGTCCGACAGCGGGAACCGACCGGACATACCGCTGATCACCACATCGTTTGCCGACATATTTGCTAATATAATGTATAATGTTTTGGCGACTCAAATACGATGGCACTTCAACTAATATAACCTTTTAATGCTGTTTATAATACTGTTGTCTAATAAAAGATATTTTAAAAATCAAAAAATATTATGAATTATAATGTTACGAATATTAGGTATTTTATACAAAATATTTATTGTTGGAGAGTTGTATTTTGCAAATTTTGAAGGTCTTTATATATGAAAATAAATATGCAATTTCTAAATATATCTATCAAATATCTTATTTACTTTAATTATATCTAATATATAAACTCCTTTTGTACGAACTTTGCCCGTACCTGTGCACCTAATATGCTAATTAAAAAAATATATACGTTTAAAATAACATGAAATCAATTATGTGGAAAATGTTTGAAGGTTTAATAACAACCTATTATTGCATCTGTTAGTGAAAACATTTCCAAAAATACATTTACTTCAATTACTAGACATATAATATAAGTTCATATTCAGTACATAATTGTCAAAATCTTTCGCAAAAAATATATTACACACTTGCGCAATTTTTTATACTATTATAGTAGATAGAAAATTACTTAATGATGAACTTATGACGAACTTATATAAAAACTTATATAAAAAGCACCGGTAGTATGCTAATGGGATTTTGCAATCAGGCATCACCATAGACGTCATGAATGACAAGGTGGGGGAGGGGGAGAGGTTACAAAGCGATTTTTATACCACAATTGTTTTATCGTTTCACCGAGTTTATCAGTACTTTAGAGATAATTTTAGAAATATTTATACAATACAATAATTATGTAATTTATTTTGACCGATAAGTAATTTAGTGAAGGTTTCATAAATATTTACTAATGTTTATTAAATTGAATTTCAATAACACGTATCAATCATTTCAATATTATTAATAAATGATTAGTTAGCCTTGAGACTTTAACTTTGATTTACGTAAATAAATACAGGTATATGCATGTATATATAAATTTATCAATCAATTACACATTACACTTATTTACCAAAACATTTCAAAGTAAAGCCTCAAGGCTAATATTTATAATACTAATACTAATAATATGATTAATACATATTGATATTTTATTGTGAGCTTAAATATACAGAAAAATTATTTTAAAAATTGTATTTTTGTTGTAAACTTACGAAAAAGGTTTGTGAATATATTTTGTTTTTTTTAAATTTATATTTACTCTTAAAATTAAAATATGTAAATCTATATGATGCACTTTATATTATAATACCTTGGTAATAAATATATAACATTCTTGATGAGAATTATTATTATAAATGTTCATTTTTAATAAATTTATTATTGTGTCAATAATTTTTAATAGTTTATAGTATTAAATAAATAACACGCGTTTGAAAAAAACATAAATGATAAATCTAATATAAAAATCTAATTAATTTAATTTATAAGTCAATAAATAAAATAAAATAATAATTTGATTGAAATAAAAAATTTTAACTAGAAAATGGACATAGATGCAAAATTATATCATAGGATATGCGTTGCCGAGACAAAGGATGGCAAAAATTTTGTCAACAAAATCCGGTCCGATATGCCACAAAAGTATGATTTTAAATGTTTTTTAATAAGTTGATTCTCTACGTGCAGAAACAGTCTATTGACAATTTATCAAATAAACATTAACCAAAAATTTTATTATTATACTAAGATAGTTATCTATGTCATTAAAGTTTAATTAAAAAATAGTTTAATTAGATCTTAAATTAATTAAACTTTCTAGTAATTTTAATTATTAATAAAGGTAATAGACAAATAGACAATAGGTATTACTATGCAATTATAATGCTATGTTTACAGTTTTCATTGAAAAATACATAACTCTTTCTGCACGGTGGTATTAACTGTTAACAATATCAGGGTTTGCTACCCAGTTCAGTTTATACACTAACAATAAAATATTATTATTAAACATATTTTAAAAATTACTTTTTCGATCATGCTAGATCAATCAAACTATGCTTAGACATCGGTTGCGGCCCCGGGAATGTCACCAAAATAGTAGCTGATACATTAAATTGTGACATGCTCGTCGGGGTCGACATTGACCCTAACATGATAGCATTTGCCAAACAAAACTACCTGGCCAAAAACATCGCGTACGTTAGGCAAGACTTTGGCGCCCCCTGGGAGTCGCTGGCACCGCAAGTGCGCCAACTCGAGGGTCGGGTGGATATCGTGTACTCAAGCCATACGTTACAGTGGATTACGCGCAGAGACAACGTGGCCGACAATATACGCCGACTGTTGGCGCCCGGGGCTCGCGCCTACCTATCCTACGCGGGCGAACCCTACTATAAGGACCTTGTTACAAATGGGTTTGTGCGGGCGATATTTTGGCTGTTAGTGTGGGTCGGGTGGTTGCGCAGTGAGCCCGAGCACGAGCAACGGGCCCAATACGCCCGGGCCTTTGAAAAGGGAGGCCTAAAAATCGTGTCACACGAGCGATACGATGGAAGCCATGTTTTCCACAAGGCCAATTATTATAGAGGTTAGTGTGTTGTATATTATGTTAAATATAAATTTTATAATTTCTAAAATTAGTATTTTTACAGAAATGATTATGTTAATTTAAAATTTTTATATATATTATAGAGAAAGTGCCAATATTTGTCAATTATACATTTAAACACCGAATCCTAAGGAAAATAGTATTGCTATGTAGCAAGATGATCCACATTTCAAATAACTCTATGGAGGATATAAGCGACAGTGAAGTGACAATCAGATATGGATTAATTGAGTTTATACTTGAAAAATGAGATTTTGATTTCTAGAAAGTGTCAGGTCCAAATACAAATAAATTACAATGAACTATAAGTAACGCGTTAATTAACCTACAATTCATTTTAATGTATTTGAATTTGGACATGGCATTATATGTTAAAAAGTCTAATTGTACATTTAATATAAGGTAGAGGTATAAAAAGGGAAAATGTACTCATAGTATTTTTATTACATATTATTGTAACAAACTTCTTATATATTTATACATGATACAAAGTTTTCTTTAAAAAATTATTTTAAATGTTAAATTGTAGTTAAATTTTAAAAAATCAAAATCTAATAACACAAATAATCTTATAGCATTAAATTTTATAAAAGTAACAACATGTATTAAAATCAGTATTTCTATATGAGTTATAAATAAAGAATTAAATAATGTTTATTAATATTTGCTGACACGGCATTTACAAAGAATATATTTTTAAACTGTTCATTATAAAATTATAATTTGAAAAGTTGGCAAAAATAAATATAACAAATAAGCATAATATACATGTTTATTAAGAGAATTAAAAATAATTTAAGCAAATTCTTGAATATTGGTGGATATTGTTTGACAACAATAACTATAGTATTAATGAACTTGGTAGGGAATTATTTTATTTTATTATATTTATTTAATATAATTTATACATGAGTATGTTTGCAATAATAAACAATAATAAATATTTTCAATCATCATATTTTATTGGTTACTTTACAAATTAAATGCTCTCTTTCAATTAAGTTTATATCTTTTATTTTCTACCAGATAAATCTATGTTTTATATTATCTAGTTTATTTTGTGTAACATGGCGATTCCCAATCGCAGTTGTATTGATTTTGACGATTAACGAGATAAAAACTATTATCTTTAAAATAATTGTGTTCAAAATTAACCTTATTAGTATACCATAAAACATGTCATTGTCGATACCATAATGATAAAATACGGTGGATATTTGTCCAGGCTGACACCGGTCGAACCCGTACATCATAATCAACAACAGTTCAAACCCATTTCTCATATAACTGTACTCGCTAATCGCATATAGCACATAATGTAGCTCATTGGCCATAATAAACGTGTTGCTTAACGTGACGTACACGACCACGATGGCCATGCAATATAGGAACGAGAGCATTTTATCGTGCGAAAATATTATCGCGGTAAGTTGGGCGTAACTTTGGCAACATAATAACACTAACAAGCTGGTTAAGTATATTATTGCGTACGAGCGTATTGTGTGAGCCATGTCGATTATTGCGCAATAGACAATTAGGGTTATAATTAGGGGTAAAAAGTCGGTGATAGTTTTTGCGCACAAAAATGCCCCAGTACTGTACCAGCCTACAATATAAAGTATAATATGAGTGGTTGTTTTAAACAGACCAGTGACTTGATTAAATATTTTGATAAACATTAATACTATACATAAACAATAAAGTTTATTATCAATCATTGTGACATAGCTTGGTCGTATTGTTATACTGTATGATATATATACAAAACATACCATTATAGTGTTCGTTGCAAAATATTGCCACCTCGGCACAAAATGAAATAGAGAATACAAACATAATCTGCACCGGAACCACCACCACCAGGGCCATCAAAAATTTAATATTATCTTTGAGAAAATTCTCGTTAATTATATCGGCGTCACTCTGGTGATCGCACCCTGCACCAAGCTCAATTGTCACGCAGCCATCGGGCACGATAATCTTTGTGTCCATAATAACCCGGAGCATCATGCCGGTATAGATGAGCATGGCAATTTGCAGGCCCAAAGTTTTCCATTGACTAATGTACGCGTATCGCATGGACCGCGTCAGTAGGCAATACACGTCCCGAAAACTGAATCGTTTTGTCGGGTTTTGTTTGCCGTAAACTAATCGGGTGTTTCCCTCAATGAGCTTATCGTCCGATTCATTGCTATTTTGTTTTGACATAAGTTTTCCGAAATCAGTCGTTCGGTTGCCATCGGATGCTATCGTAAGCACCGTTTCAATGGGGACGTCGTTTTGGGTCAATTTAATGTCGCAGTCGTGTAGGTGCTGTCGCAGGGGTAGAGGGGGTCCGGTGTACAGACATACGCCTCCTTTGGCCAACACATAGATGTTGTCAAACATGTGAAACAAATCGTTGTTTGGCTGATGAATGGACGCAATGATAGTCATCCCATGTCTTCGGGACAACACTTTTAAACAGTTAATCACCTGAAAGGCAGACAATACATAATATTAGTACTGAACAACAAGTAATACTTAATTATGTGAGAGAGATGTCTGACCACTAGAGCGGCACTACTGTCCAAACCAGAGGTCGGTTCGTCAATACATAGCATATTAGGCTTTATATGAGCCGTGAGTTCGCAGGCGATG